CTTTGGACCACTGACCAACAGACCAGGTCTGTTTTTCTTTAGCCCAGGTAAGACGTTTCTGCCGTTGTTTGTTGTTCAGGAGTGGCTTGACAAGAGGAATACGACATCTGAAGCCCATGTCCAGGATCCGTCTGTGTGTGGTGGCTCTTGATGCACTGACTCTAGCCTCAGTCCACTCCTTGTGAAAGTCCCCAACACTTTTGAATGGCCTTTTCCTGTCATCCCTGCTGCTTGTGCACTTCTTTCTTCCACACTTTTCCTTCCACATATTAATGTGCTTTGATACAGCACTTTGGGAACATCCAACTTCCTTTGCAATTACCTTTTGAGGCTTTCCCTCCTTATGGAGGGTGTCAATGATGGTTTTCTGCACAACTGTCAGGTCAGCAGTCTTCCCCATGATTGTGATTCCTACTGAACTAGACCGAGAGACCATTTAAAGGCTCAGAAACCCTTTGCAGGTATCATGGCTTACTTAGCTGATTAGAGTGGGATACTGTGAGCCTAGAAAATTGCACCATTTCACAATATTCTAATTTACTGAGATTGTGGATTTGGGGTTTTCATGAGCTATAAGCCATAATCATCGCACTTGTGACAAATCACAGCTTGAACTATCTTGCTTTGCATGTAATGCGTCTATCTCATATATTAGTTTCCCTTTTTATGTTGCATTACTGAAATAAATGAACTTTTTCACGACATTCTAATTTTTCGAGTATCACCTGTATATTTTTACTATTATTTCACTAACCGCCTTTCAGTACACACTTTCTACTCATTTGATTATACCTTACTTTGTCTCGTAATGCTCCGACTCCACCTCTAATCATGCAGTCAAGCAAAGACCTAACCCCTTCCATCCCATCAACTTGTATATATGTGCTTAGGTTCTGTTTTGCATTGCATTCCAACCTCCTTCCATTGCATTAACAGAGAGAAAAATACATTTGTCTGTCAATGCTCCAGTCCCCATCCTTCATCATACAGGACCATATATTGTTCAACTGCACAGGATCTAATTTTATCACCTGTGTAGGATGTACATAAGCTTATATGTAGGCAGCAATAGTAGCCTCCATTGCTAAATATATTACAAAGCATATGCTAAACCAGGTCTCTGTACTTAATGTACATTATGCCCACTAATCGTCAGAATATTTGCATGTTTGTAAACTGGGTTCCCAAATCAATTGTATTTAAATGCTGCACATACCCATATGCAAGCAATTTGTCCATGTTATTAAAAATAATTTGTTTAATTTTTGTCATTCGCACTGTATGTAGCAAAAAGGGTATTTGTCCTCACGCTCATGGCAGATCAAGAGAATTTAAACATATTGATGTGCTATTTATTTATTTATTTTTACAAAGCAGTTGCAACTAAGGGGTTAAAGGGAAACTATAGTGCCAGGAAAACAAAGTTGTTGTTTTTTCCTGGCACTGTAGCTCCCTATAGCGCCTCCCCCACTCTCCCCCCTCCCCCACTATCTGGTGACCCCCATCCACAGTGCAGGAGGGGCTAAAAAAATCCTTCTTACACTTACCTGAGTCCAGTGTCGATGTCCCTCAGTGCTGGCTTGGGCTCCACCTCTGCTCCTCCCTCGCTGACATCAGCCAGCAAGGGACACCTAACGTGCATGCGCAGCGATTACTGCGCTCGCATTAGTGATTCCCCCATAGGAAAGCATGTATAAAGCATACCTTTGGGGTTTTAGGTGACACTACCTATCCCCATGCATAGCAAGAGGATGTCTAACCAAAAGTCGCCTAACGACCCAGAAGTCCTTCTACCAGACAGCCACTAGAGATGTAGTTAACCCTAGCAGGTAATTATTGCAGTTTCTTAAAAACTGCAATAATTACCTTTGCAGGGTTAAGTGACCTGGGACACAGCACCCAGACCACTTAAATGAGCTGAAGTGGTATTGGTGCTATAGTGCCTTTAAGTTATGGCAAGTAAGTAATTTAAATATAAGTGATAATAACACTTACATACCACAACCTGGCAGTAGCTACATGCAATGCTCATCACATCACATCACACTATTAAAGTGTTAATATTACAAATAAAAACCAGCATTAGATTCAGAGGTGTGCACATTATCAACTCAGTCATTCTAACAGAAAACATACTAAGAGATCTCTATCTATTGATAGACCTATTTGAAATATTTATGAACATCAATACAGCTTAAAAAGACTTGCCTGATGGCCTCAAACGCTCCATTAACTTTTGGAGTACGAGGTAGAGTAGAGTTATAATCTGTATGCACATTAAGGATGCCAGCTAAATTCAGCCCCCTGTAGTTGCACCGTGAGGTGCCTTCAGGACTTCGGCTGTAACATTTCTTCACTAAGAGCTGACTGTAAAATAAGTTCAATAGGACGCAGACCAAAATGAGTTTTGTACTGAAATTTCGAGCTCGCTACATCAAAACATTACAAGGTCGCAGTACCTCCAGGCATTTGGGCATTAACAATTCAGTTTAGTCTGTCAAGATAAAGGAAACCCTTTGATTAATATGTTGTATTGTACAATAATCTAGCCTTAATGTATGTGCTGCCTTGCTAATAATAAAAATCTGGATAGAAATGCAAAGCCTTTTGCATGGGAATCTGACCCAAGGTCAGGCACATACTCACAGATCTACTTTTTTTAAACCCATTAACATTTGCAATGTATCATTAATCTTCAGATTATATTTAGCCATGAAGCTGGATGAGCATCGTAGGAGTCAACAACTTTATAGAAACAAATGGTGGTTCACAAACAATAACGAAATAACAATAGCCAAAGTTAGTGCTGATGATGTTTGTAAACTTTGCTTCCCATAATGCCTATACACAGTAAAGTCTGTCTTAGCATGGTGGGGAATGTAGTTTAACCCAAGTCCAGAAAAATGTTCATATACCTTTTTCCTTATTCATGCCCATATACATTGCTCTGTGCACACTCGACCCTGTATATTTCTCTCATTCCTTAGTCAATTATATACACCTGGGTCTCAAATAACAAATAGGGCACTTGTGCAGCCACACGCAACTTCCATATTTAAAATATTTTATGTCTACATTGTTGTTGACATAGAGGTAAATTCCACTTTGCCAAAAATTTTTATTTAAGAACGCAGTTAAATTGACGCATATTTGATCTTCCCATTATGTAGGTGGGGTTTTGTAACTTATAACAGTGGTCTTTAGCCCTGTATTGGAATCAAATTTGGGTCCAAGTGCTATTTGTTTAGGAAAAGGCACTTTATATATTCATCAGGACCCGGGGCAACTGTGCATAATAACTCGGTTACTGTAGCAGCCTTGCCTTCCCCAGTGAAATGAAAACCACTCTGACAATCGAAAAACTCTAATAGATGGGTTTTACACAATAATTTAGTAATATATTCCATAGTAAGTGGGAAAAAAGGTAATTGGAATTATTTTAGCACTGAAAGATGGGCATGCTAATGCCATACATGTGATTATTTTCAAACAACTGTTAAACACCCCTGCTCTTTAAAGCTTATAATGTATTGTTTACACGGCTGGTAAGTTTAAGGAGATAGCTGAACAATATGTGTATTTGGGAACTTTGTCTTATATACTAATGAGAAAATTGCACAATTTAAATATATATATATATATATATATATATATATAAACTGTATATAAACAGGGTGGGCCATATTTCAGAGAAGGGTTTGAGAGTCAATAACTGTTTTATTACTTAACTAATTTCAATTATATTACATGCAATGAATGCTTAACATATGGAGAATTGTTTGACTAGATACGGAAGATGACATCTTTTAAATGAGCGTCTTTTTGCCACTCCTTGAGCTGCTCAAGTGGTTTGTTCGCGTACACCCGCTCCTTCAGATATATTTCCACAGGAAGTCACTGGAAGCTGAAAGGTCGGGCGAACGTGGAGGACAATTAATCTGGGAATTTCTTGAAATTATCCTCTCTCCAAACAGTTGCCTCAGTTCTAAAAATAAAATTCCACAATTTTTACTCGTTCTCATGTGATATTACCCATGATGAATCTCCTAAAACTCAGTTATAATTTGTACCTCCAAGAAAATAATTCAACTATTAACAAATAAGCTATTTACCTGTCAAATCATATGATGAATGTTGCTCCACCCTATGTATCGCTCTATCTATCTATCTATCTATCTATATATATATTTATATATATATATATATATATATATGTAAAGTAAATAAAAGAGCACTCTCAGGATTTCCAACAAAATAAGTGTATTCACAAAGTTAAAGAATGAACCAACGTTTCAACCCTCCTGGATTTTCATCAAATGTATATATTTCCTTTCAGGTTTAGGTTTTTGTCACTTGCTGCTTATAAAATCGACGCGGTGGACAGAAGCACATTGTGTGCATGTGGCAGAACAGCTACACTAATACATGCCACTTAAATCCTATTTTAGTTCACTGTAAATCCAAAAAGATGAAGCAAAATTTACATTAGACTTTTTGAACAGTGCAGATTTTTGTGGCAATTCATCAAACTGAGTACTTGTAACAAGCCTCTCAACAATCCTACGTTTGAAACTGTTCCCAGAAAGTGC